TATTTCTAAGATCTTCATATACTTTTGCGCGAAACTAATTTTACTGATTTTATTTTGCTGCAGCTTATGATACTCTCATGATAATTTCCAGGACATTTTATACGTTAGTATATTCGAACTTATTTATATAAATTAATTTCTTTTACGTAAAGGTTGATTGGTAAAATGTTAATATAGGTAAATTGATAATTCAATAAAACGATAGTAGGAGTTTACTCACGGATTGATATTTGAGAATCATGTAAATAATTACGTATCTCACAATGAAAGAACTTTCTTGGCATATAATATGATGCTATTATAATTACTTCCCTTCGGATTACTAAATTTCTTTATTTTATCATTGACGCTCGTAAAAAGAGAAAGAGACACGCTTTATTCTTTCGTGTGGTTTTTCTATGAATGAGATCCAAAAATAGCACGTCGTACATTTATGAATGAGGTAACGCATGTTGACACCTACGTAAAGACAGTTTGGTAGTTTTGTAAAAGAGATGATTTTAGAAGAGATAAACATATTATATGATGTATTTTAAAAGTGGTGATTTCTATCAACTTTTTCTGCAATTAGAAAAGAAGCGTGTTTATGTATTCTTTCACTACAGATTAATTTTAATCTTGATTTAATTTAACTTGAAAGATTGGGACTAATAAATGTAGCTTAAAAGAAACGGGAGCACTCGACAGATGTAATATTCGATGGTATCTGGTACTTTAGAGGAAGTTATTTTTTTATTTTTGATTTTCTGATATTAAAAATGCAGAACATTTTGTTATTTTTGAAAGAACAATGGAAAGTGTAACCGGAACAATCATTATTTTTTGAAAATTAATAAAATGCCGTGCTAACTTCAGACACTACTAGTAGAGCCACGCTGAATCTATTATGCTAATATACAATTATATATACTATTAATAAAAATAATTTTCAAACGTCTTGATCATTTTAATATGATCATCTTCAATGGTGTACATAAAAATTACAATAGATCATAAATAGTTGCAATTTTCTTTAGCTAATCCTATCACATTGTCGATTTGTTTAACGGATTTGTTTCATCCTTATTAGAAATCCTTGTACATACAATTTTGATATTGTATTTTAATCGTACTGAAATGTTTCGAATCAAGGATTTGGTTTTCTATTCAGCACTATTGAGAAGATGTGTTATTTGTTGCGCATCCAGTTAACACATACTGAATCTCCGATTCGTAATTATGAATAATTTATGTCAGTACTTTTTAACATTACAACAGCTAAATTTATTCATTAACTATTGTAATGTTAAAGAGTGCTAACATAAAATATTCATAGTTGCGAATTAGGGATTCAATGTGTTGACAAGATGTGAAACAAATAACACATCTCAACAGCGCTGTAGTCAGGAAACGAAGATTCTTGATTCGAAATATTTCAGAGTAAAATACGATTAAAATATCAAATACACAAAAAAGGATTTCTAATGAAGATGATCATTAAACAAATAATGTAATAAGATTAGCTTAAGAAAATTGCGATAATTTATTGTAATTTTTATGTATACCATTGATCATGTTAAAATGATCGAAACATTTAGAAATTAATTATTTTGATTAATAATATTGTATATAGCATAATTAATCCAGCGTAGCTCTGCTAGTCCCACTTTTTTAAATTGAATTGTGAGATCATTTAGAGCTTTGTTATGAATTCTAAATTAGTCGATTTAATTTACTATTTTTTTTTAAATCCTTGCAACTAGAAAAAGATAAAAATTAAACTAACGTAAGTTAAACCGAAATTGAAGTTCTATATTGATAGAAATAGACATTAGTCGAGCATATATCATGCACGTAAAAGAATGTATTCGATATATTTCACTTTCTGGAAACATTAAGTAAAATTATTCTTTATACCTATAATTATCGTGAAGATAAGAGCGATATCCGATTTGAATATTTAATTAGATTAGATTATCAATTACAATAACTATCTATTATTATTGAACTCTTCAAATTTATTATGTTCTTTGTTTGCTTCTCGTGAAATCTAGATTGTACTTTCGTGTCAAATGGTCGTGTCAAATGGTTGTTAGTATCAGGACTCGTTTTATCGATTTCTTCTGTAAAAGTGAACCTGACCTGACCAACGGTTGTGCCCACGGTTATGGTTGTTTATGTGAACGCAAAGGTTAAGGGTCAGTTTAATTTAAAGAGTAGAGCTCGGACAAAGTCTGCCTCCGTTCGAGGATACTCGATTAAAGCAAATCAATTTATCGGAAAGTTATATCGCGATTTCTCGGTAGATTATTTCTAGATGATTGCGCGGCCGATATGATTTCATATTAATTTTCTCGCTATGCAACACGCAACGGTAATCTTATCTTTTGTTGTGGATGAAACGAGAGGATTTGAACTTTCAGCTAATTTAACTTGCAGCCACACAGAAGCCGCTATTAGAATCTTTATATTTAATATGGTATGACACGATTCTGATTTATTATGCATTTAATATAAAGCTATTTATACTATATAGACATAATTAACGTATTTGGTATCTTTAAATATCATCTGTGAACAGGAACGTATGTGCGAAGGAAATTATCATGAGCATAGAGACATTTATAGCCGGAAACAAATAGCTTGTAATTGCCACGCGTAATAAACTTTGAACAATGTTTTATACAATTGAGATTGTTATGCGTGGAATTTCTGTTCACATTCACGAGAGAGGAAAAATCTCACGACCCGGTTACAGCGTCGTCTCGGATCTATTAGATAGATAACTTCATCTAGCAATTTATGATGGCACCATTGAGCAATTAAGTCTCGTTTGTCGGTTGCGCTGCAGCGTGCACGTCATATTTTTGCGTTCAGAATAATTTTTTTTTTTAGTAATAGTCTGCTTTATAATATTTAACAAATCAGAATTTTCTCTGATTGAATCTATCATAATTCTTTAGTTGAGATAATCAGAATTTTGATTTACATGATTAAAATTTTTTGGTTCATTCATTTTCAATCAGAAATTTTTCTCAATGTAGTGATACTCGTTTGACATTACATTTGTAAAGTCAATCTCTTATCTTGCAAGCTGAACACTTTCGCGTTGTTCACATCATTAATCATTAAATGCATCGACATAAAATTCACGAGTAGATATTTGTTGAAAGAAAAATATTCTGTGCGACATTTTTCTTTTAAAGAAACCTATTCGTAAATTTTATGTCGACGCAATAATGATTAATGGTGCAACGTGGTTGAAAGTGTCCAACTTGCAAGATAAGAGATTCGATTTAATAAATGTAACGTCAAGCGAACGTTAGAAAAAACATTTAGACGTCCTATTTATAGAGCGTACTTACCATGTTTATTGTTGTATTTTCGGAATTCGCATTACTCGTAACGAAGAAGAAGTCTCATTCTTGTATATTGTTCTTCGAACTATATATGCGTTTCTGGTGCAAACAATGGCAGAATGTACGTTCATACAAAAATATATCCTTTGGGAATGCAATCGGAGAATTTGCTAAATCACTTTTTTGCTTACGAAAAGAATATCAAATTATAAGAAATATCAGATGAAGAATAGAGATATTTTTTAACCAATATTATTATAGGAATACCTATACATAAGTAATGTCTTTTCTTTCAAATTGAATAAATGTTGTCACCTTGTCTGTGGATGTGATTTATTGTTACGTAGCCTATATACTAATTATTGATATATATAATATTTATATAATATTTATTGTGAAATTTCCAAAAAAAATAGAGTATACTGTTAAGAATAGAAAGCCAAAGTGTAAGTAAGGTGCATATTAGACATTTGATGCTTTACGAGTTTCTAAAGGTCCACTACAAGTGCAATTACTTATGTTTATCGTAGTGCCTTGGATATTAGAACGTGACATTGGTTTAAAAAATTTAGAAACGATGATTTTGATCTTCCCGATTGATCAAAAAATCTGGAAAACCCATTGAATATTTTATCACAAAGCTGCCTTTATTTCACAAAAAAGGAATTGATAGTCTGCCAGAGAAATGGAAGAAGATTATTAATAATGATGGGAATTATATTATTATAGATTAATCTGTACCAAATGTTAAATAAAATAAAATTTTATGTAAGTATCGTCATTATTTACGAGTATCCCCAAAATTTCAGGATATCCTGTATACTTAAAAAATAATATGTTTTTTTAAATCGTATTCTTGTTTATGTATTTGATTTTTAATTACTTGAGCTGTTTCCTTATACTTTTAATTTTTTATTTAATGTTACAACATATCCTATAATTCGTGAATTAAAATACCATAGCAAAAAGTTTTCGAAAAATTAAGTAAATGTTTATTTTAAGCAGTTTTTGAGATAATAAGGGTGGGTTTAGGTGTAAATACAATAATTACAGACTATGTTTAGACGATCCCCTGAAGTGCGCGTTCACCAGTGCTCATCACTAAATTATTGTACGCGCGACTCATGGCGACAAATGACTGTCTAAATGTAGTCTGTAATTGACCATAAACTCTTATTATCTCAAACTACTGCTAAAAATAAAAATTTATATCTAATATTTTTACTTGATTGTTCAACGTTTTTATTGCGGTATTTAGATTCGTGAATTTCGGAACATCCTCGAATACAATATAATAGAAAAATACATATTTTCTAATATGTATTTTTCTGTTATATATTCATATATAATATAACATACAATAAATTTATATTAATTAATATTTTTAATACGATTTTTCAAATTTACATAGAATTTATAGACAATTCTGTACAATTTCGGAAAAGATACTATTAATTTAACATTTCGTTGCTCTTTCATCGATTATTAGATACAATATTTTGCAAAATGAAAAGAAAAAGAAATATTTTTCACGTAATCTTATACGTAGACTTTTCTCATATAATGAGTAATCCGATCGAAAACTATTCCGATCATATTTACAGCACGTGTATAGGTTTATACTCTCTTCAATTTTCCCTAATTATTTATTTCTTCCCTCAGGTGTAGTCATGAATGATTCACTCGGCTAAAGCAGCCAGCACAGGAGTTTCTCCGATTTCGAGGCACCGAGAGAGACTCTAAGAATCAATCGAGATGGGTGAGCTTCTAGGATCTGCGAGTTTCCTTCATCTCGGCGATATAGTCAGCCTCTACGCCGAGGGAAATGTGTCCGGGTTTCTTTCCACGTTGGGGTAAGTGAGAGATGATAAAAAAAAATAGAATTTCTAACTAAGGGAATTAGATATTTTAGAAAGAACGTTCATGAACTATCATTTAATCGCGCTGCAACGCGATGGCAACTTTTTTTAGCCATGATTTCCTACGAGTATTTTTATATTTCTTTGCACGAGAAAACGACGGCAAGAACTTTTGTTTGATGTTTACTCCTTTGAGAAGAGAGCCCAAACATACGTTTACATATACGTACAGGAAAACCGTTCAAAGAAAGTCCAGCTGCAGCGAATCGTATGCAATCGTTCGTATGCAGTCGTATGATAACGTTCCAGAAGAACTCTTTTCTTTTTTTTTTAAGTTAAAAAAGAGTTTTAATTAAAAATATACGTTTCATGTGGCATATATTGGATGAAATAGAGTTGTTGGCACAATTCATTGTGCTTATACCTTAAATAGCAGAATATTGTAAAAATTAAGATAATTTTTGATAGATTTTTGCAGAATTTTTTCTACTCGAAATTTAATTGATTTCTGTACGTAAACATACAAATTCGTATTACGCATTATTATTATATAGAATATATTAAATAAATTGAATAAATTTCTCTGTATAATCATTATGAAACAACAATTAGGAATTACACTATGTTTTTTGACGTAGTTTCAAGTACACCAGTGCCTTATATTTCAATAATTCATCAGCATCAGGCGGCTTCAAAAGCTAGACATCTGTAGAATTTAGATCTCATTCACATTCCAAGCACAATGAGCTGATGACCTTAGATATTTATCTATTCTGACCGTTGCATCCTCTGTTCGAACTGACTTATCATTTCCGTGATTCTCTATATCACTTTGTAGTACACTAATTTCAAGCATACTAGCTCTACGTTGAAAGTTTCTACAGTCAAAGTTTCTTAAGTCGTAATGCTGTGATGTAATGTTCAGAATTAACACTGAAATTCAGTAATAATATTGAGAAAATATTGAGAATGTAATTATTATCGTTGAATATCGACATTTTATGTTGTGAAAGTTAACGTTTTCTAATAACGTAACATCTTTTATACAAAATAATAATTTTTATAATATAAATTTATTAATAATTTTTGTAAAGAATATATGAATAAGCAGTATATAAGATTTTTTAAAGACTAACATAATATATATATATATATATATATATATATATATATTAAAAAATATAACATAACATAAAACAAGAAACATAACACAACATAAAACATAACGTGATGGAAGAAAAAAATAGGAGAATAAAATTTATCTTTTAAGGAAATAATGAGTTAATTGCATAATGTTATCATGCATTTTTAAAATGATCATTGTTTTGTATTGTGGACACTTGATAATGTTTTATATTATAGACACTTAATAATTGGTTGAATTGAAAACAACAATATCGTACGATTATGTTAGACTTTATGCAATTCTACATGCAAATTCTAGCAAAGTTTGTAGTAGATTCATATCAAAATGCTTTTTTTTTCTCACGCAACAAGTGTTGCATATAGAAGAGATTGTATTCGCTTACACCTGTTTATTCGTCACGCACTGCTTCAGGAAGACTGCGCACTTATATGCATGTGTTACATGTTTTAGTCAGATCATATATTAATGGAAGAAAACTTTACTTTCAGATGTGTAAATATCTGTCCCAGATTTATTTTCTTATATTAGTGATTAAAAAACATAATGGTTAAAAATATGTAGTATAGTCAAGAAAAATTATAATTATTTTAAGAAAATTGTTGATGTCGGAGCATTATGGAAGAACTTTGCATTAAAGAATTTTACACTGATATACATTGGCATATTGGCGATTGTGATTTTTAATTAATTTAATTAAACTGTAGTTTAACATAATCTGACGAGTTATTACAACTTTAAAGTTGAAAATTGGAAAATTGAAACAAATATTGATTCGTTATAAAATTTTAACAAGAAAAACCGTTGATTTGAATTGTACTTGTTTTTTCGTAGCTTAAGCAATTTTGTATACGTGACACTAAAAATATTCTTTTGTTGCATGTATACATTCTCTAAATTTCTTAGAGTGAAATCTCATTCTAAAAGAGTTAAAATAACTGCCGTTATTGAAAAAGAGTGAAAAATTTGCATTCTTTAATAAGAAGAATAGCAGATTTCACTCTTCTTTTTTGGAATGAGATTTCATACTTTTGGAGATTTACTCTAAAACAAGGAGTGAGATTATTTCCTTTTGGAGTGAATCTCAAAAGAGTGAAAAAAGAGTAAAAATTTGCCATTCTTATTCTTAATGGCAGTATTTTAATTATTAGAGTGAGATTTCACTCTAAGAAATTTAGAGAGCATACAACGATTTTATGAAAATTTATAAGGTGAAGGAAAGTGTATTTATCGCATCAAGCAAGTCGTATAGAAATTCTATATTTTCGATGAGAAATCGCATCTGGTCCTTTCAAGTTTTTTTTTCCATGTCGTGCGAGCCAATTACGTCAGTTTGACATCTTTGACGGGCGTCCAACCTGCTCGTGAATGATTTTATGGAAATTTACAACGTTAACCGTACATATCGCGTGCAAAAGTTTCGTCTTACTTGCACTGAGGGGTCGGCGTCTAAGGGTAAGTTTCTTCCGCATTTACACTTGAGAAAACGGTGTTAAAGCGAGAGCCGCGCGAAGGTCCCACGTCAATATGGGTTCAGCAGGCAAGGCGTATTATTAAATTCGCACCTGCGTATAAGGCCTCACGATCGATGAGCAATTATTTCACCCGACTTTAGCAGCGTCGTCGTGGATGTGTATTACCCGCGCACTGATGAACCTGACGAGCCGACGTCACACGGACGCCGGGTAATAAGGCGGGATCTCTCTCTTTGTATAATCCTCGACGTCGTCGACGAGCCCGCGTAGTCAACTGCGCAGATTTCCCTCAAAAGGGTACGCGACGCGACGCGGCGTTAAAATATCTTCGAGCCGATATCCTCAATCTTGCCCTGATTACGAACCGGATAAAATAAACGGTGGTCGGGAAGCGCGCGTCGCAGAGATACGCGACGGCTATAATGAACGTTGATTTTTGCATCGATTACTGCTAATATGAATATAACGACCGCCGACGGCGGAATAGCGCAATTTGCGCGATCTTTTTTCTCTCTCGTTGACCGCTGCTTACGAGATTTGTTTAAAAGTGTACCGGAAAATTGTTTTTTTTAGCAGCTAAAAAAGCGATTCTGCATATATCGTTTAACAAACATTTGTACAGTCGGAGTATTTTAGTTTGACCGACACGTGCTGGTCGGCCATGAATACAGCGAGCTGGTTTAGCTAGCGTTTTAAAACGATACTAAACACGATGCTTTTATCCGCTAGAGTACAATATATGCAAACATCCGATAATAAACATCTTTTCTAGAATGACTATCGTTAAAAATATAAACGAGCATTAAGATATTTCTCTTCATAGTCGCTGATTCATGTATTTGTTGATTCCCACGTAAGTGGAAAGAATTAAAGATAAATCATAATATTCTGGTATTTAATTAGGCTACATTTTCGTCGCTTCAGATTTATCTAAATTAGTGAACGCGTAACCTGCAGGTCGTAAGGTTGACAAAGACAAATGTTTTTTTTTTTTTTTTTTAAGAATAAAACAGATAATACATATTTTTTCTTTTAAATACGTTTTTAATGCTTCGAATATGCTTTAAATAGTATTATAAAAAAGTATGTTTAAAACATTAAAAAGAATAATTAAGCATGTTTTAAACTGTTTAAAACATGGTTTTTTTTTTTTTTTACCAATCCTGATCGCATGCAACCCATCTATAAATGTTTTTGCGAACCGCCGGTTCGTAGCCGAAAGTATAAAATTACATTTTCTATTTTGCGTAAACAAAATAAATATTATATGGTCCGAAAGATTTTACCTATCTAAAAAATATGGTCTCCTGAAAATGACTCTTAAAAAAATGGTGCGTCACTGATCTAAAAGAAGTTTGCGTAATGGTGTAATTGTATGCACAGCTGAAACGGGTCGGCCACGTGTCTAATGCGGAGGATGCGTGATCGATTTTTCTGGGCGTATGTTTACGCGGTCATGCAATCCATGCGGAATAGACCTTTGACCCATCTGAGACGTAGCTTTCATTTCTTTCCTTTTCCTTCATTTTTGTTGTTATCGAACATTAATAAGCGCTTATTCGGAGATGTCTCCTTGATTGATAATTCCGCGAGTGTCTCTTTTTGTTCGCAAAGTAAATAGATCAAGTGAATAAGTATGATAAATAATAGACGATGTATCAATACTACAAATCCAAGTGTATAATATGCTTTTCTTACAATATGTACTCTCTAAAATTTTTAAAGTGAAAAATAGTGAGTCTTTTTTAAAATTGACTCAATTTTCATCCTTTAGAGTGAAATTCCATTCTAAAGAATTTAGAGAGTAAGTGATTTTTTTCCGTATAAAAATAACACTATTACATGTTTAAATGTATAAATTCATTTTTATATGCAGTATAGTGTGTTATTTTTGTACGAAAAAAATCACTTACTCTTTAAATTCTTTAGAATGGAATTTTACTCTAAAGGATGAAAATTGAGTCAATTTTAAAAAAGACTTAATTTTCAATCTTTAAGAGTAAAATTTTACTTTTCAGTATGTGAAGGCACTTATAACACACTTGTATTTGGAATAAAATTATCACGTTGAGTGATGATCATCGGTGTTTGACTTTTCAGAGGTCTTGATAATAACAGTGAAATTTTTTTAATATCTGTAAAAAAAAAGTGATTTATAATATAAAATTTTAAATAACGTAAATATAGTTAGATAACGACGTAAAGTATAAAATACGTAATTTAACATACTATATCCATAAAAATATATTCTTATTTAATTATACTTTTTTATCACTGTATGTTTATGATAATAAAAAGTTCTATTATATCCCACACGATAAAACATACAAAACTCACTAGTCAGATGTGTGTTAAGCTGTAATCAGCGATTAGGT